ATGAGGATGGATTCTCATTTGAACACCACTCTATATGTGTGTGCGTGCTTTTTAATTTAATATACATAAATAATACATTACTATATAAAAAAAAAATACTATTTGCAGTTAAAATAATTTAGTTGGTTGATAGTGAAATTTTTATTACAAAAAGTCTAGGATCAAACTCAATATCTACCTACATTCTTACATCTTCAACTTGCATCATCGTTATACAAGAGGGCTACCCATCCAAATATTATTTGAATCTATTTTTTTTTTCCTATTAAATGGAGTATAGTTTATATTAAATGTTCTCACCAAAAATATATATATAGTTTATAACAAATGCTATGTTTTTTACGAAGTAATATTTATTGTTATTCAAAAATCAAATTATGTATGTCTATCATAAGTTAATTATGTGAAGGTTTAGGAAATATATTTAAATAGACTTGAACTCGGAATAATGGTGAAAATTTTCTTAAATTAGGGTAGGGGAAAAGGAAAATTCCCCTCTTGCTCGGTTTATTTTTTTTACTCTTATTTATTTACAAAATAAGACTAAAAGTTTAATTTTGACTTAAAATATATCATTAAAAAAAAAAAAAAAAGCCTTGCCACACCTACTCCTTTTTTTCTTTTTCTTTTTTTTTTTTCTTAATAATCTTGCCACACATACTATGTCAAAAACTTACTGCTAAAAAGTTAGAGTTTTCTTATCATAAGATATTAGTTGAAAATTTAGAGTTTTGCGGTTGAAAATTTAGTTTCCAACAACTTTGAAAGTTCCAAAAAAAAAATAAAAATTTAAGGATATTTATGTCCACTAGTAAAAAATTGGTCAATAATACTAAGCATGAAGAAAAGTCATCGAAAATTTAAATGATTGAACCAACCAAAATAATAACAATTGCTTGCAATTTACCTAAGCTACCATCCATTGATAAGAAAAACTATAGTAGTTGAAAATTTTATACCAACCATTACAAAGGTATTTTGACAAAGATTTTTCTACCAAACTTCATCGTCAAAGAAACCAAAATTTTTATCTTCTTCCTCATTTTTTTTTTTTAAATTGTTCTTCTTTTATTTATTTATTTATTTATTTATTTATTAAATCCTTATCTCCTTTTCTTTTTCCCTTCTTTCTTTCTTTACTAGCTATATATGAAAAATTAAAGTAGTTAAAAATCAAAATTTTCACTAAAGTAATTAAAAAAAATTCTTACTACTAATAAACCAAGTGTTAAATATTAATTCAAGTGTTTGTCTATAAATCATCTTAGGATCAAAAAGGTCAATATATAACTCACACAGAAAGTTAAATTTAAAACATTGCAATTATCAAACTAATTATTCAACTAATTTAGTTGGAGGTTGTTCCTAATTCAAGCTTTTATCTATATATAAACATATGCATGGCATCATTCGAATTAAATTAAAATTATTAATTTAGTTTTTTTTTTTTTTTGAGTACATTTGTAGTTAGATAGAATTACAAAAATTTGGTTAGGTACATGAAGAGATCCACGTACGAACCGACATGCAACGAACTGAGACCAGGTCATATTATTGTTCCACTAATCTTCAAACAAGTTATGCTAAAATTCCAACACGACATGCATAATTATCCTAGCTTTCATCTTTCCTTTCCACTTCCGTTGTCGTACTAAATCCAAGTAATTAAACTTTAATTTGCATTTTAATTATTATTTTTTAAATGCTACTCACTCTATTAGAATGTAGTATATGTTCATAATTACTTTCTCAACCTACTGAAGCACAAAGTCTCCACTGAGGTTCAAACTCACAACCTCACAACCTCCAATATGGGAGTCCAACCCGAGTGCCATTAGACCACAAGGTCTTGACCATTTTAATTATCTTTTAGTTGTCTACATCTTTAAGGAAAGTACGTGGTGAGTATAGTTGTCGCTAGCTCAGATGGCCGGAAGGATGAAAAGTGAAAAATAAAAATAAAAAATTAAAGTCAAGCACTGCTTACGTCGGGAATGAAAGTTGTGAACCTAAGTTGACGGATGCACTAATATTTGTTAATATATACTTTCTCAATCTAGTGAAGTACAAAGAGTCAGTGTTCCACTGGTGTTCAATCACTTCACATTTGAGAGAGTCACAGATATGACATTGAAATACATACAATTTAAGGATTGGAATTTTATACCATAAATTTTATACAATTTAAGTCGCTAGCTATATCTTGAGGAGTTTTTTGCACTTTTGGTCCCACGACTATAGTGGCACTATCAGAATTGATCCACGACTTTTAAACCTTGCAATTTTAGTCCACAACTATTGTTTTTTTGGCAAAAAATGGTCCTTCCGGCCACTTTTCAGTCAAAGTTCCACTGGAGGAAAATTTTTTTCATTTTTGAATATGGCTAAATTTGACATTTCGCTCGCAATAACAACATCAATACTCCAGGTTTGCAATACACTGTATATAAAAGCATATTCTGCACTTTTTGTACTAGGCAAATTTAGTCATTTTAGCCCTCCTAAAAAGGAAGAAATTTTTCTCCGGTGGAATTTTGACGGAAAAGTAGCAAGAAGGACCATTTTTGCCAAAAAACAATAGTCGTGGACTAAAATTGCAAGGTTTGAAAGTCATGGATCAATTCTGATAGTGCCACTATAGTCGTGGGACCAAAAATGCAAAAAACTCATATCCTTGAGCACCAGATATTCATGTTCTTATGGCTCGTTTGGTTCGCGGAAAATATTTTAAGGGAAGTGGAATTGGAATTCCATGGAAAAACAATTACTAGGAAGATAAATTTCATTGTTTGGTTGGTGGAAAAAGAATTACTGAGAATACTAATTCTATTGTTTGGTTAGATTTGGAATTGTAAGGAATAATGAGTATAAAGACCTCTATGCCCCTACAAATTAATAAAAGTAATATAATTATAAAAAGAAAGCAAGGGTAAAATAGACAATCTATTCACTCCCATCTTCTTTGGAAAACAAAATCTTTGGTCCAATGGAAAATGAATTTCATGAACCAAACACTAGAAAACAACATTTTCCTTCACTTTAAGAAAAATGTTTTCCTTTTGAAAAACATTTTCCATGAACCAAACATCCCCTTAGTAACGAATTTATTTTTTTAAAATTATGTGCGAGACAAGTGTGGATTTTTGTTACATGTGGGATATTTGACTATAACTCTATGAGTATGTCTATACCTTCTTTATTGCTGGAGATCGAATAAGTATTGAAAAAGTTTCCATGATTGCATTCCTCGTTTAAAAATTGTTAGTTTTCCCTTTAGTCGTCATTGGACCCTACTATTACCTACCACGCCTATACTCCATATTCATTTATTATTCTCTTGAGACATAGCTCAGTGGTGAAAATTTAAGTGTGTAAGATTATGAGAAATAAGCAAGTACTCAAATAACTGTGTTACTGTCTAACATTTGAGATGATGTAAATCACGGTGACTCAATGGTTCAGTAAGGAATCTGTCCACTTTGAACATAATTCTCACACTGTGACTATTGAAATTCGAACCTTAATTTCTTCTTTCAAATACTACTTACTGAACCAGTAAACTAAGTTCGTGCGAACTTTATTTATTATTATTATTATCATGATCATGATATTAATTTAAGGTGTTAATTCAAAATTTGTTTGCAAGGGAAAATGATGAAATGGTGAAAATTAGCTGTACTCTGGTTTTGGGTCCACCTAACCAAAATATCTTCCTCTACAAACTGCTCCGTATTATAATACAACCCCCCCCCCCCCACACTACCCACCTGGCCACCTTGCGTTACTTTACTCGCCCACACTCCATTTTCTCTTCTCACGAATTTTTTTATAACTCATGTTTTACCATTTCGTCAAATTATATTATAAACTCTTATAAATTTATTTCAAGGTTTAAGAACAAGATTATCATATGATCTTAAGAGAGGAGGAGATTCTATATGTTGTTTAAGAACATCAACTAAAACATGACAATATTTGTATAGTATTAAAATAGTTTCAAATAGTACTAACAATATCAAGTGTAATCCATTATTATTCCTGAAACAATATGAAATAGTTTCAAATAATATTAGCTATATACTATTGGATTATACCCTGTACAATCTGGGACGCTTTCAAATATAATAATGTATTGTACATAGTACAATTTAAAACAATTACAAATAATACCAGGTACAATCATGAATTGCACATGATATTATCAGAAACAATTTTAAAATTCTACCAAGTATAATCCACCAAAGGTACAAATATTAGGTAGTATAACAAAATTATTGAGATGATTTCAATATTACACCAATGAACTACATTTTAATTGGGGTTAATCCATGTTAAGTGAGTACGGTCTATGTAAAAAGGTATTCTGTTTAAGAAAATATGTTTTTTCCTCTTAAAAATTTTCACTAATTTTTTCCTTCGAATGTGAATTCTATTTATTGAGTGTCATGAACTGGGTGAGAAGTACAATCAGATGATGTCATGTCAAGATGATAAATTTATAGAGAAAACATATGATGGTATGTAACGTTGCTTTTAAATTAATTATAAACTGAAACCACTTAGAAAAAGAGACTGAAGTTTTCAAAGCATATGAAAAATCTCACTTAAGACTTACCTCTAGCAGAAAAGTGTGTCGGTTTCAATTCTTCCCACAAACATTGGAGGTTAGGGTTGGGTTTTTTTTATTATCTTATAAGTATACAGTTTTGTATTGAATGTCAAAATTAAATTGACTCAATTCAGTTCCTACCACGAATATTGAAATTAAATTGACTCAGTTTATCTTTTTATAAGTGATATAGTCCCACAAAAATGACAAAATTAAGAAATCTGAGTAATCCAAAAAATAATAAAAAGTAAATAAAGATTGAAAGAAAAAGGAAAGGAGTGATGGAGTGTGGTTAAGGTCGTTGGCATGTGATCTCATTGTGGTCCATTTAAGCCCCCCAAGCGCCCATTGCCCAATTTGATCTGCCCATCCCAACTCCCAAGAAACCTCCTCACCTTCACTTTCTTTCTTTCTTTCATTTTCTTGAAAAGTTTGCTTTGCCTTAAACAAAACAAAACATTTTCCTAAGCTGTAATTGCTGGTTGGTTTAAGTTGTTTCTCTTTTTACCTTTTCTCTTTGCACCAAATGCATACCAATTAACACCACACACCCCTCCCTCCCTCATAACCTCTGCCCTTTATATATACAACTGCCCACACAAATCTATGTATTTTATATGTTTTTATCTCACACATACTTGAACCAATATATATAATTTAGGATATTTAGGATGTGTGTTCAAAGCTGTGTTCTTGGAGCCTTGAATTATCTTGTGCTTGTATCCAGAGGCCAGTTCTTGAATTGCAGGGAAAGAGAAGAGAGGGGGAGAGAATCAATGGAGTTTTACACTTACCCTTCTCATGCTCTCCCTTCATCTTCAGCCTTTTCATCATTTTCCTTTGAGAATTTGGCTGAAAAGGCTAAGGAGTTCTTCACCTTTGCTGTCAGCACTGTCTTTTCTGCCGTCTTTACTTTCTTCTTTGCCTTTGGTATGTTTTTCTTTTACATTGTAGCTAAAGTGTTTACTTTTTCTGGATTTAATAGCTGCAATTTCTTGATTTGTATGTATAATTAACCATGGGGTAGCATAAATGTGATCTGGGTGTTTGATTTTGATTTTTTCTTTCTCTCATCATGAATTCTTATTTTGAGAATCAGGGCATACTGTTCTAGGGTCAAACACCTTTAAAGTTTAAGAAATTAAGCAAAAAATGAAGAATCTTAGTAGTGATTTGTCAAAAAGAAAGCAAAAAGGAAGGATCTTTGGTGTTGTAAACACAAAGTTTGTTCATTTTACCATTAATTTTTGTGAAAAGAACATGATCATATTGTGGGCCAAAAAAAAAAAAAAAAAAAAAAAGGAAATTGGCTTTTGAAACGATAGGGGCTACATTTTCATGTATGAAAAGGGAGTTTTTCTCCCCTCCTTTTAGATGCTGAAAAAATGAGTTTTGACTTTGTCCTTGCAGTGGGAACCTTATTAGGGGCATTGACTGGAGCTTTGATAGGGCAAGAGACGGAGAGCGGGTTTATAAGAGGTGCTGCAGTTGGTGCTATCTCTGGTGCCGTTTTCTCGCTTGAGGTCTTCGAGTCATCTTTGGTGTTGTGGCAGTCAGATGAATCTGGAATTGGGTGTCTCCTATATTTGGTAAGCAAACATGGCTTCATACTTGATGAAGCACATGCTTCAATTTCGTCACCGGATAAGCGACTACGGTCCACGTGTTGCTTGGAACCCACCATTAATGTGCAATCCAATGGAGCACATGCTTCAATTTTTGCAAAGTTGATATTCATTTGTCGAGTTTTATTTTGAAAGTAATTTCTTGGTTCTATGCTTAACTGGTGAGCGATGTGGGAACTATACAGATTGATGTGATTGCTAGCCTTTTAAGTGGTAGACTTGTTCGTGAGCGTATTGGTCCAGCAATGTTGAGTGCAGTACAAAGTCAGGTATCGCCATAACTTTACCGAGTGCCTAAAATGTTTGAGCGAAACCTTGGAACGCCACTTCCATTCTAACGGTTTCTGTTATCTATCAGATGGGAGCTGTTGAAACTGCATACTACGAGGCATCTAACATTTTCGACCTAGGCGGTGCAAAGGGTTTGCCCGGAGATTCAGTTGAAAGGATTCCAAAGATTATAATCACTAGTGACAACAATGTGGATGCTTCGGGGGAGAGAGTCTCTTGTTCCGTGTGCCTACAGGTAAAAACTTCCACATTTGTTCTCCTCGTTTTACTGCTCGCCTATTCTTCATTCCTTCACAGAATCTTTGTTTAAAAATCAGGACTTTCAGCTGGGCGAGACTGTGAGAAGTTTGCCGCAGTGCCATCACATGTTTCATCTACCGTGCATTGACACGTGGCTGGTGAGGCACGGTTCTTGTCCGATGTGCAGAAGGGATCTGTAGGGTGTAGTGCCCCCAATCTCTGTAAATTATAGAAAGATTTGATATAATCTTCATACTTGTCTGCAAGGTTTTCAATTAGTTCGCTATGACCTTCACTAATACTCAGTACCGATTTTCCAGGAAGCCACTGTGTAATTAGTCTCGAGTTTGTGCTTGTTTCGGTTCTGTTGTTGTTGTTGTTGTTGTTGTTGTTCTTGACCACCAATATCATGTAAAAAATTTTGCTCTTCCATAGTGTTTAATACATTAGCGTTATGTTATGTTTTGTGTTGCATTCGCGTTTTTCATCTAATTTTTTAAAAAATAGGTATTTGAACCATTTACACTCTTTCATTCCTTTTGTCTCTCTTTAATGTTTATGGAACCTAATTTGCTTTGCATATTCTTGTCATTTTGTCTGGGAATTCACCTGTTTTTGGATATCTGGATATCAGAACAGTAACTTTGATATATTCTCTGTTGATTTTGATCTGCCCACCATTTCACCATATGGTTTCAATGATTTGTCTAATTTTGGTTGTATGAAAACATGGGGATTTTAAAGTTGTCATTTTCAACATAATACTCTCGAATTTTGTTATTATATATAATAAGGAATTAAATTAACACCACTAAGTAATTGAGGAACTAAATGTGTTCAAACAGAAAGAAAGAGAAGAGACCGAATTTCATAAAAGGTACTCTGTAATAAATAACTGAAAAAGAAAAAGTGTAATTATTTTGCTTTTTGGCAAATACAAAGTGAGTTGGGGAAGTTTAGTAATGTTACTGTAATAGAGGTTTTATTTTTTGTTTGTGATTAAGGGCAACATTTCAAACCATTGCTTAGAGTGGCAAATTTGGAGAGATGAAGTTTCAACCAAACAATTCATGCACTTTCAATGAATATGAAGCACAATTGGGATGAACATTAGTATCAGGGGTGGTGCATGATATACCAATTGGTTTGGCTGCAACCAAAACTCTCCAACAATCACAACTGCCATCTGGTTTTCTGATCCCTTATAAGCATTTCATAAAGCAAAAAATACTAAGCCACAATCTGGGGATTCATGTCCCAAATCTTGTAAATGATCATATTCCAGATTTCGAAATTTGAACAGCAAAATTTTGTACACCGTGTTGAATTTAGCAGAGAGAATCTCTACATTGAGTCTTTTTCATTCAACTCCCTTATGAGAATCTAAACAAAAAGCTTATTCCAAGTCCAACATTTGCATTTTACATTGAAGAATTAAATTTAGTGGTGCACCCTCTAAAGATTTTTGTTTAATTTACCATAAGCATGGGCACATGAAAGATAGAGGGTTTAAGAGGTACCGCGTTCATTCCATAGGTGCATCACACAGGAGCCAAAGTTTTTGCAGGTAGATGGACGCCACCTCCTCTCAAAGATAAAGTGGGTCCTTTTAACGCAGTGGCTCTACTTACAAGATTTGAATCTAGAAATACGACAATGATTGTCATGTCATCATGAAAATGCCTTCTCACGCCTCGCTCAATCTTCTTCAGATCAGAGTACCTCATCTCTCTTTTCTTAGCTGCATCTTGCAGTGCAGCTTTCACAAGCCTTCGAGCACTTCCCTGCATCAAGGAGATCAGGTAAACATCATTAGCAGTGACATCTATCCTGCATCTTAATTATATGCTTATGTGTGACCAAAATTCACAATTTTTTTACAACTTATACAGATTGAATCAAAGGGCACCTAAACATCATTGGCCATAATCAGAGCACTGATTCCACAATAACCAAAAAGGCATTTTTCACTCCCTCCCTCTTGAGCTAGAGGAAAATATCAGGCCATCTCACCCTACACAAAACCATTTTTTTCATCTCCTTTCAACAAAACAAGGGATTTGAGTGTTGCTCATATGTCTCAGTTTTCAATAGTAAAACACAATTCTTATAAACTGCTATTGCTATCTACGTATGAAATGAAATGGCTTATAGGTTCAGATATCACTATTTGTGAGCATCGCCCTGATTTCCCACATTCTTGTCCTTAAAATCATGCTTCATTGGTACTTGATAGTAGAGCTTAAAATCTTTACTCCAGTGGTGCATAATAGCATGATGCAAGAATGAAATTTCGATGATTTGACCGATATCACTATTCAGTTTATAATATATTGAAAAGTTATAATCCGTGCACTGACAATTGAAACTTACTGGGCAATACTGGCTAGCATCTATCCAATATAGCAGCAGCAGCAACATTAAATCTAACTATGACGTGAAACTTGGTGCAACAACTCATAATTTATAGCTTTTTATGGAATCCAGAAACTATATCAATTCACAAAGAAGAAACTCAGATTTTTTGATAAGTCTCAAGGATCTTACATTTTGAGGGCCACTTTGTACTATATCAACTGCCTCTTGATTGCTAAGGTGTTCCCAAAGACCATCAGAAGCAAATATGAGAAACTGATCGTGCTGCTCAATTTCATGCACTAAAATTGATGGCTCTGAGCTCAATATGGGGCTGTTAAAGGGTTCCTTCAAACGAAATTTAGCATACAAAGGCTCTCTGTTGTATTCAGCCTTTTTAAGATACACATCACCAATGGATCTGGAAATCTGCAAGATGATTTTTTTTATAACTGAGAAATTACTCAAAACAGATTCATATCACCAAATTTAAGCATCTATGGATGTCTATGTTGAAGGTCAAACATTAAAAATCAATTACCCAAATCTTAATCAAAATAAACTCAGGTTACCATGAATTAGGATACAGCAATAATTAGCAAAGCATTTATCAAGGAAACAGAAAGGCAGAAAGCTAAGTCCACACACACACACACACACACACACACATATATATATATATATAATTGAGAAAAATAATTATAGTGCACCCCTTCCTCGAGTCCCAGAAATCAGAAGGATATAGAAAGAGGAAGTATATGATTAATTCCAAGCTTTCAACAATTAGCAAGAGAGTTAATTGAACATTTCTACCATGACATGATACCTTACACAAACACACACACAATGTTTAGAACCTTGCAACAGGATCAACTTTCTTATAGATGCAATCTGCAGCAAGCTTCCCACATACAGTTTCATATGTGTGTGTGTGTGTGTGTGTGTGTGTGTGAAATCAAAAGTGTTGGACTGAGAAAGATAGATTGACTAAAAAGAAAACATTAGTCATCAAAATTTCTTGAATTCAATATGATAGAAACGTGCAAGTAATGGTCCAGTGAGAGACAAAAGGCGAGCACCCACCATAAAGGCGAAAGCTATGGAAGACTAGAACAAGAACAAGAGAGAAATGTTGAATCTCAAAAATAATAAAGACAACAAATCTAATGATTTAACTAGACTAGGGCACAAGTGATAGGGAAACTGGGAATTCAAGAACCTCTAGTACTCCATAATTAAGCAACCATCTTTGGAAAACAAGATGTAACACAACAGAAAAAAATTTAGTGTGATAGAAGCAAAGGAGCTTCAATGCACCAGACTTCCCCTCACTCTATACTTCCCAAGAACCTGTAAGAAGGAAGAAACCTTCTTTTGATGTTGGGAAGAGACAACCTTTTCTTTCCTTGATAAAAAAATCAGGTAGTTAGGGTTCGGTAAAAAAATAAATAAATAAATAAAAGTAAAAGGACTCTAACTAATTTGTCTTGAATATGAGAATATCATGTTGGAAATCGCAAGTCCGGTGGTTAGGTGGGTTTCATAGAGCCATCACCCACTCATAAGGCAAAACCTATATAAGACTAACACAAGAACAAGTGAGAAATGTTGTAGATTAAGGCTATAAGCCTATAACTAAGCATTGTGTATAGGTTACAACAGTGATGTGTGCATATACTAAACTAGAGAACAAATGATAGAGAAACTCGCAATAGTAAACTATGAGGAAACTAGAAATAAATCAAATACTACTGTGAATCTGTGATTCCTAAACTCAAATTTTGGGCAACCTTTCTACAAACTAGGAATATTCTAAATGTTCTAACACAATCTAACGAGTGCATTCAAGTTACATTATACTTTGATGTTTTAAAACCAGAGTGACTATTAGGCACAATGAAAGCACTTTGTTAGCATGTAAATTTATATTTAACATCAATATAAAATTTAAAAATAAAAAAGACAGAAATTGGCATAACTCATAGTTATGCATGTTGTGTTAATTGGGTTTGCACCGTATGCTAATCTGGTTAGCACATTATGTTAATCAGATACGTATGCTGCACAAAAAGTATAAAAACCTGCCAGTTATGCTATGCATGATGTGCTAATTGCATTTGCACCTTGTAGTAATCGTGTTAGCATGCTAACCATGTGTAACTAGCAAGGACCAGTAAAAGAACATGCAAGTTATGCTATGCAAGCTAAGCTAATTGGGTTTGCAAATAATGATAATTGTGTTTACATACTATGTTAATAAGGTTTGCACATTATCTATGTATACACACTCTATTTATTACCTATGTGCATAATATATATTATTTACGCACATTATATGTATCACTTAAGAATATGACGCTATAGTATTACTTACATATGATATGCTAACACATCTCCTTATGAGCATAAATCAACCAATAACAAAGGGACATAACATCATGGTACACCTAGTACCAATAATTTGCATAAAGCTATCACCATGAACCACTTCTCTGTGGCCAAATTTTGATAATATCATTCAATACTTCCAATAAGAAACATCTATTCCCTTAATTAAGTAAAAAACCACCACGCAGAAATTAAACTTGTAAAAACTACAGTAATGTTCTTTCCTCATTTCTTCACTGGATCAAATGTTAAAATGAGGGCTCAATCCATCAACCTAATACTTTCCATTTGATTATCTAAAAATTTGACAAGTTTCAATGATGAATTTTCCTTAGGTAGGAGGACGTAATGATCTTTTTATTATAAATTTGTTAAATAGGATCATTTACCATCTATAGCCATTTGATTTGAATTATTTCTCTGTTGTTATGCACTATGTGAGCTTTTAAAGTGATGGCATTTGATTTCTTGAATTTACCTGAAATAAAAGAAAATAGCTTGAATGATTTTATGGAAATTGCCATTAAATTGCCTACAAGCTGATGCCCTTTGATAACGCAGACATATTTCCTATATCTAGTGTAGAAATAAATATAACCGGAGTATAATAACAACAACAACAGCATTGTTATGGTCTGTTAAACTGTTAAAGAAGCACTCTGAATATTACTACTAGGTGGGATGTACCAGACAACATTAAATTGAGATTTAGAAAAAATTATTGAAATTCTATGAATCTTTAGCTCTACCTAAAGTTTCCTAACTGGTCCCAAATTTGAACAAAGAGGAGTTGCAGTGGGGCAGTTTGTTAACAGCTAGTGTAAAACTGTGTCAAATTACATGATGTGGATTGTATACATAAAACAATGCCTGTTGGAAATACTGAATCTATGCAGGAGTGCAGCCAGCCTCAACTAGACTCAGATTAAGCTTTAGCTGGATTGAGCTGTATGAAATTTAATCCAACAGTCCAACCTAATAAGAAGAAGAAACTAGTCAAGCTCAAAGGTTCTACAAGTCACATATCTATCAAACTCTTGCTTCAGTAAATCCCGGGAGAATGAAACCAAGACCATGTGAACTTTTAGGACCTATTTAGTGTCTAGAGAAATTTCCAATTTCCAATTTTCTGGAAAAATGGAATAAAATTTTCTATTCAAAATTAACTGTTTCCAAAATAGAAAAAGAAAAAATGGAGAATTTGAGAATTTTCCATTTATTCAACTTAACAAATGATTTTGGAAAACACTTTTACTATTTTCCAAATTCACCAAATACAACAGCATACATAACTTCACTTTTTATCACCATTACCATTTACTTATTTACATCACCTTTCTACCTCTATCTTCAACTACATATGTTAGAGAAAAGAACCAGGAGGTATTTTTGATAGACTAGAAACTAAAGAAAAGAAATAGGAAGTCACAAAACTTCCCCCAACAAGAGTTTTAGGCTCTTGCCCCACAAGAGTTTTAGGCTCTTGCCTAGCTACTAAAAGCTTAAAGACTAAGGAAGATTATTGGATGATCTACTCTCTTCTAGAGATTCTGATTTATAGTACTAGGAAATAAATAATTATAGAAAGGAGATGATTGCTGAGATGATTGTTGAGATGATTATGCCTCTCTTTATTTGTCAAAACCCTTGAGTTAAGCCTTCCCATGTATATCCTGATTTGCCTGATTTGCATCCTTCCTTTTTCTGCGTGAGTAAACCATCCATCCTTTTGGATACGTATCATTGCCACCCTCCAAAGAAACAACCTTGTCCCCAAGGTTGGAGTGAGGAAACTGACCGTTGAAGTCAGATACGCTACAGTATTCAGCCCAATTGAGGAAGCGTCCCCATTGCTTTGGTTGTTCAGAAGTCATACACCGCAAATACTGCTCCAGGCATCGATTGAGGACTTCTGACTGGCTGTCCGTTTGAGGGTGGTATGCAGTGCTCAAACGCAACTTGGTGCCCCATTTGTCAAAAAATTCTGTCCAGAGGTTGGAGTAAACCTCGGGTGCCATGTTGTCATACTTATTCTTTTGACACAGTAGGCATTCAGTTACGAATTGTTGCGTTCGCTTCATCCACCGGAGCCAATCTAGAGCCAGTCCTTGCATACTGATAAAGGCTGTCGGAACCTTCAGATCTTCCCGGGTGTGATGTATGGCGAAATATTGCTCCACTCCGGGCAACCATCCGATCGGGTCGCCACCATCAAATGTAGGAAGTTCCAATCTTCCCGTGGGAAGTGTGGTGTTGTCGAGAGGAGCCAATCGTTCTGACGAGGGGTTGGAATCAATTGTTGGGACTGCTACCGATGACGCACTAGCATCGCCCTGCCCTTTGCTTTGGAGGGAGAGAGCGAGGAGGTTGGACATCCTAGCCACAGAAGCTTCCAAAGCTGCAAATCGATCGTTCAATGTGGTCAATTCAGTACGGATTGCATCTTGGTTCTTCTCTAACGTCTCTATGCGGGAATCTCGTGTGTTCGCCATCCAACGGCAGGTCGGATCAATTTGTTAGAGAAAAGAACCAGGAGGTATTTTTGATAGACTAGAAACTAAAGAAAAGAAATAGGAAGTCACAAAACTTCCCCCAACAAGAGTTTTAGGCTCTTGCCCCACAAGAGTTTTAGGCTCTTGCCTAGCTACTAAAAGCTTAAAGACTAAGGAAGATTATTGGATGATCTACTCTCTTCTAGAGATTCTGATTTATAGTACTAGGAAATAAATAATTATAGAAAGGAGATGATTGCTGAGATGATTGTTGAGATGATTATGCCTCTCTTTATTTGTCAAAACCCTTGAGTTAAGCCTTCCCATGTATATCCTGATTTGCCTGATTTGCATCCTTCCTTTTTCTGCGTGAGTAAACCATCCATCCTTTTGGATGCGTATCAACATACCTATAACCTACCCCACCACCTACCTACATTTCGATCACCACAACCACATCAATACAATCATCATTCCCTTCTACCCACCATTGCGTGCCTCTAAATACTCATACCACTCATCTATCTATGTGACTACCTATACCATGCATACTACTACCTACATACCTACCCACCGCTTCATTATCTCCATTCATCATCACTAATTTTACTCGACCGCTATAACACTATTTGTGTAACCTTACTAACCTCACCCCATCTACCTACCCCCACTCTCATCTACTACCTACCCCCCATCACCACTCAATGCATTGTCACTTATCATTCATTTTTACATTTTTATATAAAAGAGAAACAATAAAATTCAAATAATTTGATATTTTATAAGTTGGAAAATAGTTCACTTTGGACACATTTCCTAATTTTCCAATGAAAAAATGAAAAGTTGAAAATTTTTGGAAAACTGGAAATAAAAAATGAAAATTCAACTTCTCTGTAGTAAACAGGCCTTATTTTTTCACTTGAAAGAAACCTAAATTAGTGAAAGACCAGCATAAAAAAAGCAGCAGGGTCAAAAAAATCTAGAAATCAAACCTATACAAATATCAATTTGAAATCAAACCTATACACATATTAATTAGAAAGAGCATGTTATAGGACCAGTTATGCACATCAAATGTGCAGGAGGCGACCTTAACTAAAAATAGTTCATTTACCAAGTCACAACAATGCAATTTTGCCATCTGGAAGAAAATTGATGAAAATCAACCTGAACTTGAAAACAAGGAAACCCAATTAGCTATAGAGTTACCTGTATCAAGCCCTTTACCCGCCATACATTACGCTTCAGAAAAACAATCTGTGGGTCATTAGGATGCATAGCTTGCAGCTCCTGTCTGATGGATTCTATGCTGGCATTATGCTCAGTTGAAAGCTGGATGCCAAGAACCTCTCCAGTTGCCTTGACCAGCCTCCCCAAAACTGCACGGGAATCACCAAGGTTGGCAATATAAAGAGTTCTGTAGCAGATTATGCCAACAAGGCAGCAAGACCCAACGGCAGCAATTTGTGGGTTTATTGGCCATTGTTTAGCAACCAGAGACAAGAATCCTTCTTCTGTTGCCTGAAATGCTTTCCTTATCACATCCACAGTCATAGAGTTTTGCTCTGTTGTGAACCCTGCTACATATAAATCGAAGATAATCAACATTGAATATATAATGGTTAAATAGCAAGAAAACTAAAGAGAAATCTATTGAAAGAACAATCAATGCAAAGGTAACTAAAAACTCTAATTGAACAATTAACGTAAAAGAAGTTTTCTCATTTTAGATATAGTGTGATTACTCTTGAGATGCTGAAAGAGGTGATCATTGATAAACCGTGATGTCTCCGGCCCACCATGACCATCATATACTCCAACAAAAGTCCCATAAGGACCAGAATCAAGTAAGCTCAAAGATCCAGACTCAATCTGGCTTTGATCCTCAAGCAAATTGTTTGCCTGGACAACAGCCATTGAGAAATCACCAAGCAAGTGCTGCCCAATGTCCTTATACCAAAGAAGTCCATCCTGCCGGCAAGTAGCATCGAAACCCTTACGGACGTGGCTGTTGGATGATGAGCGCCAACAGGTCTTCAGGAAATTTATCAACCTTGATAACATGCCTCATTTCATCCCGGCTTACTGACAAATCTACAACATCCAAAATGGATGCAAGAGCGCTCCAACTAAAAGCCCCTCACAACCAATCTCTCTTATCCCGGAAATAAACAACACAACTGTATCAATAGATTAAATTGCAACATAACTGAAATCCCAACAACAACAACTAAAAACCATAAAATTGAGTAAATGTTATAGCCTACTTAATCATATGACAAATAGAAATAGCATAACTAGTAGTCTATCAGAACAAAAAAAAAAAGAAGGCCTAAATAAAAAATCCATGTAAATTTCAGCCCAAAAAATAAGAATAACCAAGACCCACGTAGATAAAATCTTCAATATTTAAACTTTGAAGGCCTCAGCTATGAAAACAAACAATTGTGGCAAAAACGTATAGGGTCAAACTACCTATTACTGTCTATCCACGCCAAAAACCAAACAATTGTAAGGACAGACGGCCACAAACCCTGTAAAACTCGATAAAACGCTAAATCATGGCGCTGCGAACATTTGAGCTACGTCATATGCCAAAACACCAACAAAAATTAAAATAGCACACAAACCTTGAAATCGTAAAGATGATAATAAATAATAATTACGGAGCAGTCATAATACAGCTCTGAACATTTTGTACTTTAAGAAAGAAAACCTCAGAGTGGAGTTTGTGGGGTGCTTTTATGCTGTTTGCTGGTCGCTGACTGAACCCTGACAACTGAAAACGACTGAGATCCGAATCAAAAATTAGCAATCTCAAAGCGTTAGATCTATGAAGAAGCCATCAAATCGCCCCTTCCTTCATACACACTGAAGAAAATACGTTAAATTTAACTTCCTTTTCAGGTCTTACTTTCTCTAATTCTGATTTTTGCTCAAAATAAGAGAAGGGGGAGAAAGGAAGAAAGCTTCACGAATTGAACAAACTGATGAACAACTCTCTTCTATTCCTTTTTTCTTCCCTTTTTTGTGTATCTTCGTGGAATAACTGGCAAAAGCCTAATCGTCCAAGAACTCACTAAAATTGGTGTACTCAATAAATAAATACTCCGTATATTAGTATAGAGTTAATTACTATTTTTGTCCTCAAAATTTTGTTTTCTTGTCAATTTCCATCCACACACCAAATAATTTATGAGAAATAAAATTTAAAATTCATAAAAAAAATAAAGTAAAAAATAATTTAATATTTAATTATTTAGTTGGTGAAAAAAATATTGAGAATTGATGGAGGTAGACTTGATAAGTAATTAGTGGGATCATCTTTTGGTTTGAGTGATACTTAAATTTTATTTTGGATGATACTTTTGAAATGCAAAATCCAAACTAAATAATAATTTAGATTTGTTTATGAAATTATTTTTAGTTTATTTCTAGTTAGTTTGGGTATGCCCAATTTTTTTTTATTAAAGGCATGGTAAAGAATTATTTCATAAATATGGAAAGGCATCAAACTATCTAGGTATAGTCCTTTCTCTCCTTTATTTTAGATAATATGATTATTTTTCTTCTTCCTTCTTCTCCCAATGATATGATTTTGTTTCTAAGGCTTCGCGGAGATCATGTATGTATTATCAAGGAGTGATTTGATACACTTAGCAAAGTCTATGGACAACGAGTGAGCCTAAATAAGTCTCAATTTTTTTTTCTCTAATAATGTCAAACCAAAACAGTAAGTTATACTCTCTTATATGGTTGTAATTTAACAAACGAATGAGTTAGGAAAAATAATCAAAATATATTGGGTACTTTCAATACACAAAAATGATGAAAACTAATTAGTCTACTCCATTGTTGAATAGAATTGATAATCAACTAGATGATTGAAAAAAACAAGGACCTCACTCGTACAATACATTAAGTGCTATTATAGCATCCCTTATTATAGCATGCAATTTACAATCCTTTCTTATGTAGTATGATAATGGGAATACATAGTGCACGTCCCGACCTCAAAGGTCAGGATGTCGAGCCTACTTGAACATATAGAATATATGTGAAGTGTCTTTTCAATCATCGCATTTTTATTCCATTAAATGTTGACACATGCCGTGCTCGGTCTGATTACCCCATAGCTATGCGCCAAATATCCCCCGTTGGCGGGATTTCCAACATGGATCATTGCGTGTAGCACTATATAAGCCATCTAACTCCTTAGAGGAATGGATTTTCGAACTGTCCTATCGAGAAAATCATGACTTGTGAACTCTAGCAGATCACGTGAACTAGAAGAGTCACACTTAATGATATAGTTTCTTTAATATGTTTCTATACACCTAGAGAATACACATACTCATATAACAATCTGGCGTATCGAGAAAATCATGACTTGTGAACTCTAGCAGATCACGTGTACTATAAGAGTCACACTTAATGATATAGTTTCTTTAATATGTTTCCGTACACCTAGAGACTACACATACTCAAATTACAAACTGGCGTATTGAGAAAATCATGACTTGTGAACTCTAGCAGATCACGTGTTGTGAACTCTGATCTAGCAGATCACGTGTTGTGAACTCTGATCTAGCAGATCACGTGTATTAGAAGAGTCACAAATGATATAGTTTCTTTAATCTGTTTCCATACATCTATAGACTACAGATACTCATAGAGATGACGACATTCTCAACAACCAACTCTACCGAGAACATAAAATGAGTTGTCATATTCCACTTACAAATGAAATTGATACAAGGGGTCAATAAAATGTGACTACTCATGTCATTGACACAATCAACTACGTTCCCTCCTTCATCGACTAGTTACCTTTATCTTCCTCAACTAGTTACCTTGTTGAAGTAACTCTCCCAAAATGGGAAGTCATTTAGAAGATTGTAAGTTCGAACCTCAGTGAAAGCGTTGTAATAGAGTCAATAGCATTCAAAAAAAAAATCCTCAATAACCTTAATTAACAAGCCCCGCATAATATAAATTTACCTCACTACGGATCGAAATAAGGCAAAAATCACTTTTAATACCGTCGCTTATGCTAATTTTAGTCTTGTCACGCATTCCAAACAACCATTATTAGTAGCATCATTCATGCATTGATTATCCATAATAAAAACCGCCCCAAAATTCACCTTGTTAACATCCATAAATAGCATTACACTCACTTGACATTTAATAAACTCCAAAGGGGTCTCCACTGCTTATCTATAATCATAAATTATGAACGTTTTCTTATTTATCTATCTACCTCTAATACCATCTACCCACATACACGTGCTTATCTATATTCATATAATCGTATCTACCGCCACTATAATTGCATCCATTACTATTTTCTTTTATTTTACTAGACTAGTTACCGCACGCACATTGCACGAATAGTCCAATGCTCAATGTGCATTTTAAAATTAGTGTTTCAAAAGTTATCACAGTATCATTCGGTATCCTGACGAATACCAATGCAAAATTATCAAAATTTCCATAAAAGTAAATATTTCAAGAATGCATAACTATGACATGTTGCATAAATGTTGGATTAACTGGTGCAATAACAGTTTTAGAGGGAATCACCATCACTGGATGTCTGGATAGTACCCTAAGCATAGGTTTTGTAACACAAAACCTATTAATTGGTGTGACCCATGCTTCCTCTTGTTGTCACATCCGCCAGAAATAAATTTTTGATTTTATCTAATCTCATTGTGTGTTTCACTGCAATTTTAGTGACTTTGCGCAATGCACCTTCAAAACACAGAACGAAATCATCATTTCCAAAAAATACAATGATAATATGCATACATTTATCATATGTGTTGAATATATATTGTAAATTATGTGTATCGTTTCATCAATGTCGCCAATGCGCAATTCTAATTAATTGACCAAAATGAATGTTAAGTTTTATATTGTAATTTTTTTTTTTTTTTTTGGTTTTAGAGTTGTACTATACAATTTTTTGGACAAAAATACCCTTATCCCGTTATAATTTCCGTTATCTTTTTAATTTCTTTTACCATGCATGCATCTATCATATCTTTTCTTATGTTCTTTAATTATAACAATATTTTTAAAATATTATATATTCATTATATATTATATTAATATAATAAATAACTTTTATTTCACTTAGATTTTAATTAGTAAAAATTTGTTAGCTATTTTTAAAAATATAAATATTGGACATATGTTTTTGCGCATCGTGCATATAAAAGACTAGTATATATATATATATATATATATATATATATATATATATATATATATTCAAATTATATTTATTACCAAATAAATAGACTTAGGTTCGTTTTGATCTTTTGACTATGGTACATGTATCAAATTTGATCATTGACTATTAATATTTATCAAATTAGGTGCATGACTATATAATTTGTATCATATTTGGTCCTGCCGTCCAATTTTCCAACCAACTATTGCTAAAGTTTCAACGAAAAAAATAATATGTTCTAATTAAAAGAGCATTTTCAACCAACTATTGTTGAAAAAATTATTTTTTTCTTGTCAAAATTTTAAAAATAGTTGGTCAAAAAATTGGTCAGAAAATTAGACAGTAAAAATAAATGTGATACAAATTACATAGTCATACACTTAATTTAAAAATATTAAAATCAAGTACCAAATATGATATAAATTACATAATCATGCACTTAATTTAAAGTTATAAATAATTAAGGATAAAGTTAATACACTTACAAATTACAATAGTGAAGGATGAAAAGAAAAGAAATTTCTTAAGAAATTGTGTGAAAGAATCCCCTAATAAGATTTTTGTATTCGGTACCTTTTTTTGTTTTTTAGTATTTTTTTTATTTTATTGACCGGCAGATTCTGTCTCGGTAACGAGCTCCATCCACGCGGTAAAAGGAAACGATGGTAGACGCACCGTGACAGTAGTAAAAACTGTCACCGCCCAGTAAAAATTCACCTGTGACAAAAGAAATGCCAGCGTGGACCAAGGAAACTGCGGAGGTAATACAACTTTTTTCACCGATGCGTGCGCCACACATCTTCCGACTTAAGGCTAGCATCGTAATTTCACGGCGTGGAAAACCGGGTTTTTTCCCTAGTCCTAAGCAAAGAAGGAAAGAGAGAAACAAATACAAATATAGAGTATAGAGAGAGGGGAAAATACAGAGGGAGAGAGAGAGAGAGAGAAAGAGAGAAAGAGAGAGAGAGAGAGAGAAGACTCGCCTCTCTTTTGTTGTGTTGTGGGGGTTTCTGTTGCAGTGTTGTTCAAGAGCTAGGCCGAGCCTCTCTGAGCATTATCGGAGCAGAGCGCCGATCGGATCCTCCCGGTGATCCGACGAAATCCAATCTTTGGAAAAACCCTAGTTTCACTCCATTTTACTCCTGACTCTCACTCTTCTCTTCTGTAGAGAAATTTTTGATCGATTCGATTTTGGTTTTTTTTTTTTTTTTTTTTTACATAATTATTTAAGGTTTTGGCTTTGGTTTTTTGGAATTTAGGGGGCAGTCGATCGTCCGGTTGATATTCAGTATAGAGCTGGTTTTGAAACCCTAATTTGGAGGCCTATCTCGGTTTATTATTATTTTTTTCTTTAAAAAATTTTCGAAGCTTTAAGGAAAAGCAAACCCTAGTTTTGATGGCTACAGCTTCTTCTAACCCCGCTGCTCCGAATCATCACTCCCCACGGAGTACCGCCGCCGCCGAAATCGGCGCTCCAGGCCTAAACAGTCCCAAATCTCGGCGGTCATCGTCTGCGCGTGGGGTTTCTTCCCCGTGGACTCAGATTGTCCGCGGCGGTGAATCGGATTCAGTCCCTGTTGCGACCGCCTCTGGAGCGATCCTTCAATCTCCACATTCTCCTTCGTCTGCTAGTGTCGCTCAGGAGCAATTGGGAAGTTCTCCTGATTGGTCGCATTCACAAGCTGCCTCGCCTACCGCTGGAAATTCATCATCGCCAGCGCCAGAGGATGCTGCTGCGGAAGCTCAGGGGGATAGCTCTGAGAATGGGAGTGGGAATAATGCTGCAAAGAAACCAGTTTGGAACAAACCAAACGGTGCCAAAGAGGTTGGTGCGGTTATGGGGGCCGTTTCTTGGCCTGCTCTGTCCGAGTCTACTAAGGCTTCTCCAAAGCCGTCTTCCTCTGATTTGCCTAAAACTATCTCTGAAGGCTCACTCCCCGTGTCTCAGGTTAATTTGCTTTGCATGTACCTTAAATGGTTATATCCTCAAGATTCTCCTTTACAATCTTAATACGTTTTATTGTGGTTGACATTCCTGCCACTAGTGGTTGCACATTTTTCATTGTTTTCTTCATACATTTAACTTTTGGTTTATGTATATCTGTCTCTCTGCTACATGCTTTAGCACTATAGGTTGCATTGTTCTTTGACGTAGATAACTCTAAACTCTTTGATTTATGCACTTTGTCCCTCTCGCACTATGACACAGAAATCTTGTATAATATTGTACTTATCTCAATTTCAAGTTCACTTGTTCTTTTGATTTTGTGCATATTATTATAGGGCACTGGTACTGCTTCATCATCTTCTTCTCCACATAAGCAACTTCACACTAATAATGCAAATCCTAGTTCAACTCCAAATCATGCTCCCAACCGCCAGAGGTCTTTTAAACGTGGTGGTGGAAATTCAAGCAACAACTCGTCAGCTAATGGCAGCTTCTCTCAGCAACAACAGCCACATGTTTCGGTGGCTGATATGACAACACATAATTCTGAAAAATCTGGTAACTCTGGTGCAGAATTATCTTCAAGAGACAATGTGCATCGGGATGGTGGACAGAGAGGAGGATTTGGATCTCAATCACATGGTGGCAATGAGCACCAACACCACCGAAGTTCCAACAGAAGGGGTAATGGTGGGCCACGTCCTCGTGGGGATGGCTCTTATAACCATGGACATGGCGGTGCACGTGATCAGGATCGTGGTGGTCAGGAATGGACTCCTAATAGGAATTTCAGTGGAAGAGATCCACACATGCAACCACCACAAAGATTTCCCTCTAGGCCCTTTATACGGGGTCCTCCTACTCCTCCACCTTTCATTCCTCCAACTGTGCCCATGCGACCTTTCAACCCCCCTATTATTTATCCAGGTGAGATGTGTTACTTTTGAGTTTACTTTATGTAATATGTACATCCTTGATTAGAATTATCTGGCATTGTACTGACACTCAAAGAGTATGCAGAGGTTGCATCTTCAGTGTTTTATGTAACAGGACCACCTCCAGAATCATTTAGAATGCCAATGATTGCCCCTATGTCTCCTGTGTTCTTTCATGTACCAGATCCCCAGTTGCATAACAAGATAGTAAATCAGATAGATTATTATTTCAGGTAGGTTTTTCTCTACCTGTATCTTCCTTTGATAAGGTAGTTTTTGTTACTTAAAATATGTTTGCTTTATTGACATGCTAATCACTTGTTTCCCCTACCCTATTCATTGCAGTAGCGACAATTTAATTAAGGACATGTTCTTGCGTGAAAATATGGATGATCAGGGCTGGGTCCCTGTTAAACTAGTAGCAGGATTCAAAAAGGTGAGTTGGTTGGATTGAACTGTTTTCTTGTTAAAAAAAAAAAACTCTTTTGTGTATATACAATTCAGGATAAAATCTCCTGGCACATTTCATTAACTTAAAACTTTACAGTTTTGCCAGTGATCTATATCTTAGTTTGCATTCTAGTTGAAAAGCAAAGGTAAGCTTTAATAACCTAGGCTCGTCTCCTGGGAACCTCGTGCACTTTGTGAACCTCTTAGGCACTTGGCATCATATATACTAATATACCTATATATTACAAAAACACACATTTCTTTCCACAAAAATATAAATACACTGTATTCTCTAAATATGAGGATTCAAATTTGAAATCCTAATATTCGTATCAAGGGGTTGCTATTTGTGGTTCAACTTATCTGCTCTTTCATTGTGGGTTTTTTTGGTTGGTAAATTTCTACGGAGTATTATTCAGTATGTAACTTGTTGATATGGGTTAGTGGTACTTATCCGAGATTGTTATTTTGCTCATGGTAAGCAGCATGAAGAACATCTTTAATAGTCAAGAAAAAGGACGGCATTTTTTTTTTTTGTATTGTGAGGAAAAATTTTAATAGTTAGGCTTTGAATTTTAATGGAGTTCAGGAAGTTGTGAGTTGATTCTACCATGTTTTGGTAACATTTTTCTGGAAGGAAACATGGGGGGATATTGAGATCAATTAGGTTGTTGTTAGACTGTTAGAGAGTAATTTAGGAATTATTGGATGAATGGAACTAAATATGCCAGATACTTCTATTTAGTTTGAATTTGTAGACTTGGTAGGACTGATGGCTGATCTTGCTTAATGAGTATTTAAATTTCTAGCTTAATCTGTGTTTGCTTTTGTTAGAAGGTGAACATGTAAAACAGGGTGTTTGGTGGTGGTGGGTGGGGAACCAACCTTTAACATCGTGATACTTCTGTAGATTTTAGTACCTGAAGGTTAAATCTTTTTAGTACTATGTTTTCTAATCACTTATGTCTAGCTGTAGACTTGTGTTTTTGTTACTTCCCTTTTTCTGGGTTAATTTAGATTGTCCGTCTTTGTTTCTGTTTTTCATATTTGTTTGATCTCAAATGTTGTGAGGTTATTCAGCAGCTGCTAGTACTTGCATTTTCTGTTGTTAGGAAATATACATCTTTTCTGGACTGGAATTTAGATTAATGTCTTTTTTCTATTATCCTGAGTAATAGCATTTTGGACATAAATTCTGGTTAATTTGTGTATCTCTGTTATTCTCCAAGTCTTGATTAATATTGGGGAACTCTTTGTCCACCAAGATAAAATAATGATTCGTCCATCATTGTGCATATTTGCAGTTTTTTTTTTTTTTTTTTTTTTTTTTTTTTTTTTTTTGTGAGTATTAATTATTGTGATCATTCATAGTTACTTTTTGGTGGATGATCCTTTCTAGTTATGGCCATAGTCATCTAATCACCTTAAGGTGAATGATATCCTGTGTTTTATAGTGATCATTCATAGTTACTTTTTGGGGCTTGGATCCTTTCTACTTATGGCTATAATCATCTGATCACCTTAAGGTGGATGGTATCTTGCTTTTTATCAACTTCAAGAATTTGTTGTTCTATCTTGTAAAGGTTTAAACTCAGAAATGCCTGCAGGTATACCTGGTACAGGTCTGCACTTAATGTTATTTCAATGTCCATTTGATAGAGTGCTCTGATGCTTTTGTATAAACCTTATTTGGGATTGCTAATGTTCCTTTTCTGTTAATGTCTAAGAATATAACTCATTTTGTTGGTTGATATGTGTGTTTGGGTTGTTCTCCTTTGTGCATTTGATGTGTATATTTTAAATCTCACATTCTGGATGCAAATATTTAGACTTGTCATAATTTGTGCTTCAGATTTTTTTAAGAGATATGTAAATACCAGGCTGTTTTTGACATTTTTACAGGTTTCTAAGCTTACAAGCAGTATACAGATTATATTGGATGCCTTGCAAGCTTCAAGTGTTGTGGAAGTACAGGTATATTGGTTTTATAGGTTTACCTTAATTTAGATCTCTGGTGGTTGTACCTTTTCTTTGACCCTCTGAGAGAAATTATTGATATGATGTTCAGTTGCATTCAATAGTCCATTTTGATACATTGCCTATAATTTATTGAACTTGCAATGGGTATGAACCTGTTCTATTTTCATGTGAGACAGAGATTGCTAATTTGCTATTCTACTTGTGAAGCATTATTTATTACATTTGGCAGAGTACTCACATGAAAGTATATTATATTTGAGAAAAAATAATGAAAATCTGGTTTGCCGTTATTCTGAAATCTTAAGTTGGAAATATGTGTATGCATGTACCAATCTAGTAAACATTAGGTATGGCTCTTGCCTTGGGTTTAGCTTTGATAGTCCCCTTAATAATAAGCTAAAAAAGAGTTGAAGTTGTGAAGCATTCTTTTGTCACATAATAAGTTTGACTGGAACACAGTACAATTGAAAGAAAAATGAATGATATTATTGCTGTTTATGAAAACCTTTAGTTGGGAATATGGACATGTACCATTTTGGTAACGTGCTCTCTAGTTTCGGTTTGTTGCATGGAGCGTGATTATAGTAGTATTTAATAAATTAATTTTTCTTGCAGGGTGAGAAATTGAGGCGACGTAATGACTGGATGAAATGGATCGTGCCACCATCTATGCGATATTCTAGAGTATCAAGTCCTCAGGCTGTACAAAACTCAAGCTCTGATATGGTTATGGCCCACCTCCAGAGCGTTACATTGGATGAGATGGGTGGCAATTCTGAAGCATATATTAGTAGAACATCGTCTGGGGAGCCGACTAGCACCTCTCAGCAGCAGCAATCTGGCAATGAAATGATGGGGACAATCACAAGTCAGGGAGGGCAGTCAGCGGCTGCTGGAAACTCAAGCAACTAAGACTTTGTGGACTGAAGAGGGAGGGGGGAGGGGAGGGAGGCCCAATCTTGACAAGAACAATCAGCTTGGCCTGGGGGCGTACAGTTGTACAACGAACTCACGTTGGAAATAGACAGGCAAACCTACCTAAAGCGGATTGAAAAGAGAAACAATTTATTAAAAATAAAAGAGAACACAAAGGATAGAGAGTTAAATGACTTTAAAGCTGGTTGCTTGAGTTTGTTGGGATGTATATTTTGTTTTTATTTGGGGATAAAGTCTTAACGTTCTTTATTTGTTTTTTTTGCTGTGTGCCATTATTACTATTGTGCATGGGGAGTTTTGATTCCACTTTACCCCATGCCATTCCATGCCCGCTCCTTGGTGGTTATTTTTTGCCCCCACAAATTTTGTGGCTAAGTGCACTATTAATCAGGTGGAAGTGAAGTCGGTGGTTGGCTTCAAATGCCACAATGCTGCAGCTAGCTGGGTCCTGGTGCGTCTGTCCTGTCCTGTCTTTTATAGAGCAGTATATTCTGAACTGTTATGTATGCCTTCTCCAATATGTTTTGTGTTTGCTGCCTTCTTGAATGGCCTTCCTCCCTCTTGGGAACAAAAAGTGTTTGGAGTAGGCATACACATATTGTATACTCCCTTTTAATTTCATGGTTTGTGTTGTGTTAAAATTTCAGCCTCATTATTGTTAATGCTATTATAGATTTTGCATGGTTCATTAATTGCTGCTTTGCTTTATAATAATTTAAAGAAAAGGAATTAGTGTAGTGTGTAGGCAAACATATAAAGAAGACAAGTCTAACAGCCTAAACCAAGCCATAGAGGAAACCTTCAAGTTACTAAGCATAGAGTAGAGTTGTTCCTGTATATTTCCTTCCACTTGGTATTGGAGTATTTCGCATATACACATTTTCTTGGTATTTAGTTTTATGAACATTTTATTAGGATAATAATGTGTTGATGAAGACAAAAATAGCATAATCATATATAGATGTAGACTGTCTGATAAGTGAGTGAGTAGACAGCAACAGTCAGCAGTGGAGGGAGTGGAGGTGTCAGCATGGGGGCAAACTGATAATATTCCTTCCAATCCCAAGTTTGCCCTCTTAACCAATATATATCATCACAATTTTTCTTTCACTTGACAAAGACAAAACATCATTATGAATGTAATGTTTTGTTTCATTACTCTAACAATAGTATCGTTAAGAGATTGTAATAAATTTAAATTAAAAAAAAAAAAAGTCTTAAGGGAATTATAAATCATTATCACAATTACAATTGCAATTTCATTACTTTCTACAAAGAAATCCCAATTACACAAGAAGTTGAACACTATGATAACTACTACCTGCCTATCTATTCTCATTCAACAACCATGATTCACCTATCTCTAACACCATCATTTCTTTGTCATTATTCACTTTGAATCTCTCTCTCTCTCTCTCTCTCTCTCTCTCTCTCTCTCTCACTATATGTACCAATTACTGTGCTTCATCACCTCATCACATGCGGTTGGGTTTTGGAAACAACATACATTTTAATACTAAGTGTTGATTAGGCCAAGTAATCTGTTTAAGTAGATAACTCATATTTATTTAATTAACTTATAAAACTCAGTGCGGGATATATCAATGAATTATGTCTGTATTTTTTATATTTGTCAAGTTGTACATTATATTAAAAATATTGTACTTTAATATTTTGTTTCGACTAAATTACTCTTACACTAGTAAGTATTTCATTAGTTTAATATTAATTACTAAATCAATTACCTAATTGTATTTACCATTAATATATTGCTTACCAAAATAATTTACCTACTTAAAAAGGATTATATTAAATCAAATATATGACTAACCAACACAAATAATTGTAAACAAATTTATCACAGTTATATGAATCATTTATAATATTTTATCTAAACAATCATAGAGATACATATAGATAGAATACAATATAGATTCTGTCATTTATTTTTCTTATTTTATTTTAAAATTATTTTAATATAATCATAATTTTTATATTTGACTCCCACTTTCGCACATCGTACTTATAAAAGCTAGCAACTTAAATAAAGAAAAAGAACACAACTTTTGCGTAGAAACTCGAAAGAAAAAATAAACAGCATTTTTTAACTAAAAAATTTATTGTCACTCACTACACTTCAAAAATTTCTTCATCATTCTAGCGTATATAACTATATATACTACTACAACAAAATAGTGAATAGTACCAATGATTTTCATTCTTTTAGTGTTTGCTTGAAAGTCACTTAGAAAATGATATTTTTTATATTTGGCTAAAAATTAAAACATTATATTTTAATGTTATGTTTGGTTCATTTATAAAAATGAACACAAATATATTACAAATGTACTTTTTATAATTATTTTAACTATGATAATAATTATTTTTAAAGAATTTAAAATGGGTGTCAATGTACTTATATTACGCAATATAATTTTATTTATATCAAAATTTAATTAGTCCAATTTGGTTCAATTAAAAAAGTAATCATGCATATGTTGGTTAGTTTGTTCATACGACACCACTTAAAAGAAAAGAAGAGAGAGAGCGAGAGTAAGAATGTGAGAGAGATATGAAAGATATTTTCTGAGTAAAAATCTTAAAATACGTTTTTCGTCTAAATAGACCATTTTTCATTTAACCAAACTAAATATTTTTCATCGCCTACATTTTCCTTTGATATCCAAACATTAAAAAATAACTTTCAGAAACCATTTTTTTCAAGTTTCTAAACGACTCTAATAAGTACAACCTTAACCTAATTTTTGGACTTGCATTTTTATTTTGTAATAATAATTTGTAGGCACTAGAAAAATTGAAAATCCATACTAGTAACATGTTGTGGCAAAGCATTAGCAACAAATCACATTAGTATTTACTCCGTAAAATATAAACAAATGATTTAGTCTGTGGATTTGAAATAAAGAGGGTTAGATTCATTTGGAATGGTCAGAGTTTTTGTTGGTATTTATAAGGAATAGTAAGAAGTTGCAGAGGAGAGTACAACGTTTGAGTGGCATAAATAAATGCGGTGGTGGAATCAGAATATTGACAGAAAATTTGATGTATGACAAGTGGACGATGCGTCACTCTAAAAGATTTTGTGGCTTCCTCCACACGAATTGCCACGTCAGCTTTATATATATAATCCGATCAGGTGAGGACGTGAGGACTAATCTTGTGTGTTTATTTTTTTATTTGGATGGTCCAGATTTGAGTTCTTGAGATGACATGGATTGATATAGACAGTTGTATAAGAATTCACATAAAAAATAACTTATCAAAACCCGTTACATCAAAAAGTAAAATTGAAAGAGTAAGATTACAAAATCCATGTAATAAAGTGCCATGAATGAACAAAAGCAGTGAATTATTAGAAAAGGATGAAGGGGGTAGGTGGTGGCATGGTAGCTAGGTGGCAGTGCAGTGGGTTTTAAATATCTTTATTGGGGATAGGGATTGAATCTGCAAAAGGTTAATAGGGAGGGAATAGGGTTTTGACAGCTGCGTATAGTGATGGCAGCTGTTTCTCTCTCTTTCTGCCCGCTCTCCACTTGTTGCCTCAGTGTAGAGTTTTCTTTTTATGTTCCCATTCCACCATTATCAAACTGCAGGTTTCATTGCTTAGTTTATCCTTTCACTGTTTGGTTGCACACTTTACTACCAATTCAACATACCCCTTGCTAGCTTCCATGCAATTTTTTTTTACATCATTTTTTGGCTAGCTAGCTAGTATACAACAATGAGAAAGTGAGTTAGTAAAGGAGTGGGGTTTAGAAAAAATATATATATATATATATATAATTTTAAAGGGTGTTTTAAAATTCGTTTTCGAGTAACCGTTATCTAACTGAAATTCTTTGATTCAGTTATTGTTAAATGTTTTATAGAATTCCTGTAAGAGTTAATTCAGTTCAAAATGACCTTCGTGCATGAAATGTGCTCGTTAAGTTTGTTTAATGTTTTTTTTTTTCCCTTCATTCTTCTGTCTCTATTTCTTTCTCCTCCCCCGTCCCCCTTTTGGTACCCTCTAAAAAAAAAAAAAAACTAACAAAAAGTTTGGACGATTGGGTTGCTCTTAGTACGGTTAGTTTAAGTTATGTAGGGTTATTCAAATAATATGAGTACAGAAATATTACATTACCTTATTTTGTTTAAATTATGTGATTACCTTAATAAATTCATATTACCATCATATAAGATTTTGAAATGATTTAATTACCTCTCTCTCTCTCTCTCTCTCTCTCTATATATATATATATATATATATATATATATTACATTTCAATATTCAAATGGTTATTAACCAATAGAAATCCCCGTACACAATTTTTGTTTTTTTTGTTTTTTTTTTTAAACACAATTTCTGTTTATTATATAAAATTATAGGTAAACATATTAATATTAAAAAAAGTGTACATTCAGTATTTAAACCTTTTTTTTTATTTTATAAATGAAGTACAAATCTGATTATTTTAAAATTTTATATAATAATTACTTACGGAGTATTTGATTTTTTTAAATGGCTTTGTGACTATGGATTCGTAATAAATTGGTATTTTATTTCATTGTTACTAGAACACAATTGTATTTTGTTAAAAGAACTATGAATATATAAATAAAATAATGATACTATAATATCGTTGCCAAACAAAATCGAAGTGCATAATTTAAAATCGAACCATAGCCTATGCACATAAATTTCTTTAAAAAAAAAAAAAAACAAAAAAAAAAACAGAAAGCTAACCTTGTGACAAAAAAATCATCAATTATATTCATCACATATCTCATCATTTACGGTGCAAATATGTATGGGCTATGCATTTTCGATCATCTTCGCTTTGATTATTTTCCCCATCAATAATATACCCTGAAATCAAATATATAAAGTATATACTTATGATAAATTGAAACATAGGATTAAAAATAAATGTAAATTTCAACCAAAAAAAAAAACAAAACTCATTCATAAAATTTAGGACACAATTTATAATATTATATATTTATCCTAAAACAAAACATGTAGATAAAAATTGACTGAAAACATGAAATACAAATGAGTTTATAAGAGAAATTGAGTACATATACATGTGTCTATAGAAAAAAAAAAAAAAGCAAATAAACAAACAGAAATTATTGTACATAGAAAGGGACTAATATATATATATATATATATATATATATATATATATATATATATATATATATATGTAAGAGTATGTTTAGCACAACGTACTCTTTTTTGAGCTTAGATTATTTAGGATTTGCCATAAAGGACACACAAGAATATGTATTTGAAGTGATGAAACATTCTTGAAATAGAAAGTAATTGTTTTTTTTTGGGGTAGGTTAAACATAAAAAAGGGTTAAAAAAAAAGAAAAGAAAAAGAAAATGCATGTTTACTGGATTTGGGGTGGTAAAATGTGGGAAAATGAGGTATCCTACAAACAGAAGCACCCACGCCTATGCGTTGCATAGCCCTTCCATCACTCTACTATATTTGGAACTTAAATGCGTCACAATTCACAACTCATCAACACAAATACTTCCCAAAAAAAAGTTTACTTTTTATTTCCATCATACTAAATTAGTGTATTTTTTTAAGAAATGAAAATCTCTATAATTTGATTAATTTCAAAAAGAAACAAGGTATAAGGATAAAATTTTTCATCATTTGAGGTTACAAGTGTATGATTTGTATTTAATTAATTAGTCAATTTTACTTTAAATGCAGGATTGAGTCAACCAATTCATACAAAGTAATGAATAAAACATGTTCTATTGTCACCGTGACAAATTTTAGTGAAATTTTTTAGTTCATGTAGTTTTATTTTTTATTTTTATTTTTCAAAAAGATGCCACATCTATTGATACTGTTAAAAACATTTTTAGTTTAATAATATTTTTAAAAATACAAATTTAATATATACTAATACTAAACTTAATATTATTAAAAAAAATTAAATTAAAAATAATTTTAGTGAAATCACATCAATCAAACCAGATACCAGGGCGGAGTGCGATCCAAGACTTATAAATTGAACACATTTAATATATGTTTTTAAAATATTTGATAGAAGATAGATGAGAGATGAGAATTTTGATTATACATATATGAATTATGAATAATAAAATTGAAAGTACAAGAGTATTTGAGTTGAATTAAAATGAGTCCTCTCCGGCCTCTCATTCACCCTTACTAGCACATGTTTGCTCCTCCTCTTATTATTATTATTATATCCGTAGTAATAATTAGTAAATTGTCCTTACTGAGAATCAAAACTATTTGAGTTTGTACTCTCTACTCTACTGCGCTCTCTCCATCTATCTATCTATCTATCTACTTTAACTTTAACCTAACTAGCTTGCTTGTAGCTTCAATTCTTCAGAAGGATGAGATGATATAGCCAGATGAAATGAGGCCGCCATTCAATGGTGAAGACGCTTATACATTCTCTTCTTCCTCTTCTTCTCCATCGCCCTTTTCACCTTCCAATAATAAAACCATGGAAGAGGTTTGGAAAGACATCAACCTCTCCTCTCTCCACCACCACTCCTCCGCCGCCGCCGGCATCAACTTCCAGGACTTCCTGGCTCGACCCTTTGCAAAAGACCAGCCTCCCTCCGCGGCGCCTATTCCCGACACCATGCTCAACCTCAACTCCGTCGTCCCGGATCTTCATTTCCTGCAGCCCCCCCCGGAGGGATCTGTGAGTGGGACTACTAGCTTTGAGGCCTTGGCTTCTTCCGCATCCGCCGGTTTCAATATTGCTAACGGGCTAGCCGCTAGGAACTGCAGCAGGCTCGTGAACTCCGATGACAATTCCGGTGACCGGAGACATAAACGGATGATCAAGAACCGTGAGTCCGCTGCTCGATCAAGAGCTCGGAAGCAGGAAAGTACAGTTACCTCAACATATATATCCTCCTAGTACATACATATATATATATATATATATATATATATATATATATATATATAATTGGCACTGATGTTTTGTCCTGATTGATTACTACATACATAGTGCAGGCTTATACAAATCAGTTGGAGCAGGAAGTGACCCAATTGGCTAAAGAGAACTGTAGGCTCAAGAAACAGCTCCAACAGGTATATATGTAGCTAAATTTAGTACAAATACTAACACTGTCCCAATTTCTGGAACATATATATATATATATATATATATATATATATATATGGGCATGATAAGATGAAATCAAGTCTTCCTTAAAAGTAAAAAGTGAGGACTGATTTCAACGGGTTCATTAATGATTTATGCTGGGTTTTAATATAAAAAAGGACGGGATAAATTTTATAAATATTAAAAAGTTTTAAGAGACCGGGATTTCACAAGATAGGTTTTGTTTGTGCTTAAATTAAAGTGGAAAAGAATGAAGTGTTTTGATTTGTTGAAATGGAGCGCAGTTAAGTAGTGGTGCAGCAGGAGGAGGAGGTCACGAGGATCATCATCATCATCAACTCAAAAAGGGGTCTCTTTCTCGCACCTCAACGGCTCCATTTTGAGTGTTTTATTTCTGAGGCCTGAAAGGATCCATCCATCTTACTTGTTCTATTATTACTATTCACTGTACTGTGGCGAGTATAAAACCTAATTAAGCAGTGTATGTTGTATTAGTGTTAGTTGTGATAACTGATCTAATCTAATGGTTGATATAAGTTAGATAAAAGCTACTGATCTAATCTGATGTACTATGTTCATCTTACAATCTAATCTAATGTACTATGTAATTCCATTTCCATATATGTTTCGGATCGGAATTGAAGGCAGTTTACTTTAGTTTAGTTTAGGGTTTTTGTCGGCAATATATATATGCATGGAACAAACACAGGGATCGAGTCTCGTTAGCGGCAGTGTGGGAGCAACCTCTCAAAGTGAGGGGGGTTCCTTATGCGCAGTGAGCACCGATCTAGTCTCTGTGGTTCATGTTCAGTTAAGTCACCATGATTTATATCTTCCCAAATACTCTGTCGGGCCGGGGTGTGAGGACCCTTAGGGTTGGAGTTCAACCTGGAAGAATGGAACAAACACAACGACTTATGTTTCCTTTTATGGTTTATGGATCTTTTTGTTATATTTGGTGTCTGTGCTTCCATTTTAATATACATGGACCGACTTTTTAATTTCTTTCTATCGCAAATACACTTGCACATACTGTACTGTAACTAATTCATTCATATTGCAAATTATACCGTACACCACTAATAAATGTATGTTCGTTTTAAATATATTGAAAGTTATTTTTAATCAATTGAAGGTTTAAATTTTCAGTAAATGAAAAATAAACATTTAATCTATTAAAAATAAATTTGTTTTTTTAGTAATATGCCTTGCAATGTGGATTGTGGTCCATGATATAATGATTGAATTATAATAATACTCCATATATTAATATTAGTTTTTTACGCGCATTGCACGAATAGGTAATGTCCAATGTTTATTTTTAAATAAGTACTTTAAAGTATATCAAATGCAAGCGTATATAAGAGATGTTCATGCCTAATGTTTATTTTTAAATAAGTACTTCAAAGTATAAATGAAAGTTTATATAAGAGATGTTCATGCATATGTAATTGAATGTTGAATTTGTTTATTTAAATTCGTAATTCAGTGACCAATTTGAACCTTATTCCTTAAAATAATTGTTTGCAATTTTGTAAAAAAACTAGTCTAAAAATACTACTTTTGATTTGAATTGTTCCAAGTCTTCATAATTATCATTTCAATAGTATTGTCATTGTTTTCATCTTCAGTACTCTTCACAAAAGAAAAATAAAAATGTATTGAATTAAAAAAATTCACATACTTAATGTTACATGATTCCTTATCCATTTGGGGATTTTTTACAAAAAAAATTTAAAAATTTTTATTTTGTGGTATGCATTATAAGGAAGATATGAGCAAGCTGATGAAGATGGTCCAGTAGTGATTGCTTTGTTGGAATTTTACTACTGGTATGCAACAAAAGGGCACTGCAAAGAGTGCCCTTTTGTTGCGATTAGACAACAGACTTATCTCTCTACATATATTTGCATATATCCACACACCCACACACAAGAAAGGGAAAAGAATTATAATGACGTGTGAATAAAGTTGGAATTTAAATTATATTATTATTTGGTAAGCATGAATAGAATTATTGAGAATTGAAATAAAAGAAGGGAATACAAATTAAAATATTTTGTGTAATAATAATAATAGAAAAATTGTCATTTGCTATAGACTTCAAATTCCGTGGACTATGGAATTGCAATTCCATCATATACCGACGCCTCATGAATGTTTCAACATACACAACAATTTTAAATTCTATTACAGAAGGGGAACTTTTATCCATAACTTAAAATATACTATTTAAGTCATGAATTTGAATCACAACCTTCTTGGTTTGAGTTGATTAGCTATGGACAATTTAAGTTGGTTTACTTCTTTGTGGTTCTTTAGTGGCTATGATTACAATGCGGAATTTATCATTTGCACACGTACCCTTGAATAATGACTGCGGGTTTCATTCGTTTAAAAAAAAAAAAAAAAAAATTGTGTGGGGTGCAGGTAGGCATGTAGCTAGCATGCTCCTCCATATCACCCTCATCCCCTTTTCTGTGGCTGTGGGCCTTCTAATATTTGATTAAAGACAACACCCTATCCCTACGTACTACAAATTACATGAAATGACATAAGGTTTGATGAAACATTTGATACCAATGTTGGGGCCCATCATGTTTTTTGGTCAAGCTAAGGCTTCACTTTCTCCTTGCCAATGTATGTTTTCAAAAGCAAAAAAAAAAAGTTGGAAAGTTATGACTTGGATGAATATCATAAAACAGAAAGTTATGTTGTAGGCTTTGTAAAAAGAATAAAGTTGATTCTTTGTCTCCAAGTTTCTGCTTCGTATTTTGCGACAATTAAGAATTACATAAGCTGACAGTTGGCATGTGGTTCCGTTGTCGTCCAGCGGTTAGGATATCTGGCTTTCACCCAGGGGACCCGGGTTCGATTCCCGGCAACGGAAAAAAAACCCATTTTTGCTTTCTCGTTTTCCGTCTATTTGTTATCGATCAAAACAAAAATTCTATGCAAATTGGGAAGATTGTTGGAGAGGAAATATATATATATATATGATTACTCTTTTAAGAATTAGGATCAGAAACCAGCTATATGAAAAGACGAAAACCATATGACCATCTCCTCCGTCAACACTGCTACCTTTTCCGGCTTGTCTCCGTCGACGGCGAAGCGGCAAAGCGGGCACGTTTTCCGGCTTCCGCTCAGCCATCTATCAACGCAGTCCCTATGGTACTCGTGCATGCATGGCAACACTCTCACGTTATCTCCCTCTTTCAATCTCGATAAGCACACACTGCACAACGCTTTACTCCCTGCGGCGGCTCCGGCCACCTCGTACGACCACGAATCCTTGATTCTTTGCGGGGCGAAGAGGCTGCATGTGAACACCACCATTTTCTTGATGAACACCATTGGGTAATTGGGTTTCTCAAATTAAAGCATGTTTTCGTTAGAAAAGAGAGAGGGTCATATACATACAGCTTAGCTTGTTGAGAGAGTATATATATAGAGAGAGAGAGAGAGGGAGAGAACAATTTGATTTTAGGAGACATGCATATCTTGTATGGCTTTTTGTATTGTATGTGTTTGGCGTTTGCTTGGATTGAAAGGGTGGTTGGAATAACAAGAATTTAGACGGTGATTTTGAGTGTTCAACACAAGATCGAGGTTCTACTTTGAAAACTGCGTTAGTTTGTTGTCTTATATATTAAACTAATAACTCCGCTCTTTAATTAACATTAATCTCCATCTACCAAAAATAATACTAGGTGTCAGTTTGAAAGATCAGATCAGAGCTGCCTAATTGCTCATATCTGAATTGCATCCTAAGCTTTATATCTCCGATCCATTGCCAACCCACCAAGAAATCTTTACTCATTTGAAAGCATAGTCTGAACCGTCTTCATCGTCTATATATGCAAATAATATTTTTGGTTTTCTTCAAGCTTTACTGGTTCTGGATAGTGAATATTATTAATAAGATAAGGACTTGGGAGCTAGCTCAGCTCCTCTGATATTTTCACGTAAACATCCCACACCTACCTAAATTCTGGTTTCTTGCAACTAGGGAGTGTACTAGGGTGTTTTGGTTGAAATGAAGGAATTATGGGAGAAATGAATTGTAATTCGGTGGAAAAGAATAAGGTAGAATAAAGTATGAATTCAAATTACAGTGTTTGGTATGCAATAATAGGATTACAGGGAATTGAAAGTGAATAAGTGATATAGTGACTGAAATGTCCTTTGTGAGAGATAAGGATGAGAATAATGATAGGGGCAAAAATGTCTTTACAGTAATATATTTCTCCATTTCACCATTGAATTACAATTCTTAGGTGGGGGTTATGAATTACAATTCAGCCAAAGGAGCGAATTGCAATTTCCTCTAACCAAACAATGTAATTGATGGGGAAACGAATTGCAATGCAATTACAATCAAATTACATCCAACCAAACAGCCACTTAAGTGTCGACTTCTATAATACGTAAATAATGTTTTGTTAGATAGGAGACACCAGATTTGACAAGTATTGGTTAGCAACCGCAACTTCAACTTGACCTAAAGCTTTGGTAGAGGAGATAAACTAAACACTACTGAATGTGTCTCAATAAGCCATGCCCGGCCCGCACTCTGCGGCGGCCAGCAAAATTAAGCTATTAACTTCTTTTGGATTGACCAATAACTAGTTGAGTTACATTGTGTCCAAGACCATTCCTGGCCTTTCCCATTTTACACAATATGGCACAAAAAGCTTATGGGAAGATTCTATCACTGATCATGAATGATCCTTCTGCAACCCATGAATCTGGTAATACACAACATCACCAAACCATTATACTCCATGCTAGATTTTGCCCGGGCCGGTTTCGAGCAAGGCTCCGGGCTATTTTTCTTATAGGACTTGAATCAGCCTCTATAAGCCGGTTCAAGTTTGGGCTAAGCCCGACCCAGTCCTGCTTTTTAACGGGCCAATTCAGGGCTGGTTCGACCTTGAACCGGCCCGTGACCACCTCTAGCAGCTGCACATTAATATGCAAAATTACAGTGGTAGTTCTGCACTGCACTTTAGAGCTGTCCTATATATATACCAGTTCAATATCCATGAAAAGACATCCAAATTAGACATCAATACCAGCCCAAGAGGGCCACACAATCGTTCACTCTCCAAGGAAACCCTTAAAGGTTCATCTACATACAGAAACTTTTAAAATGGATCACAGAGAATAGAATATGACAATTCATTATTACTAGTCAGACTCCATCATCCCCCCAAAAATATCTAACAGCACCTGCAATTACCCACTGGTGAGACATTGTTTTTATTCGATTTCAAGAAGCTTGGAATGGACCCAAGTGCAAAAGAATGGTGACCAATTAAATTATTAAACAATAAGAAACCTATATGAACAAATATTAAAAACTATAGAAAACTCCATACAACTTTATTGGTAGGCCTCACCTGCTCCTTGCCTCCTTGTCCAAGGTAAGGAAGCATCCGTGAACACCTACTAGGCTACTTCAACGATTTCTTCCGTACATCTTCACTATGTCACACTCAATGACAGCCCATAACAAAGTGAAACTGTCTATGAATAATGTTAGTTGATGCTCTAACTATATGAGCTTCATCAATACTGAAACAATATTAAAATTAGTACAGGTGTCAGCTTGTCTTTTTCTGTTTTCTTCTTTGCATGCAGTTGCAAGGATTGGTAGTCAACTTCTTTTCCAAGATGTCCTACCTTGCAAAAAGATTTAACTTAAAATGCCAAGAGGCCAAAGTACAGATGCCATTATGCATTAGGTTACATGCATGCTCATATAACATATTTTATCCTTAGAATCTATAGACCTAATTCTAATATCCAATCATAAATTTATAGACCAATTTTTTCAACAAAAAATTCCTTACCGGTATTTCTCTGCAAATAATTTCTTTTCCATTTTTGAAGGCTACCCGGCCTAGGCCTAGCCCTACCCTATGCAATGCTTGGGCACGGTATAGCTGTCTTTTCCAAATGCATGTAATCTCTAAACATAGAGTAGCATGAGACTTATCAAACAAAAATGAAAATGACTAACTAAAAATGTCAGCTCCAGCATGTGTGAAATAACAACACCAGTGTTAACACAATCAAGTAACATAACATAAGCATTTCATTTGCTTAGTTGCTCTTGAAGCAATTCTTTGAAGTGGAAGATAAGATGAGAGTTATTGCATGAATTAAAAAGGCGTGCATGATAAGAAATAGTAGTATTCGATATAGAAAGCAGTAACAAGAATCCAAATTAAATACGGTGTGAAAATGTATCCAGATGAAAATTAAAATTATTATTCATTCTTTCCAAAGGATTGAGAGTTTTTACAGCCTAAAATAAATTAAGCCATTAGAAATAAGGACTTCTTATAAGCATCAGCAGAATGTGTCCAATTCAAGAACGTAATTAACATAAGCGTTGATCATAAGTAAAGATCCAAAGAGTAACCTTAATTGGCTTTGTGCATACACATTCTCTATATAAGCTTAAGTAACTCAGCTATGTTCAATCACTGCCTTTCACTCCAGGTGAAGCAGCAACATCAGAAGCATCGTTGGTTTCAATTATCTTGCCGTCCTCCGGAACAAGATGGGGGATCCCATCCACTATCTAATTACAATATAGAATTCATAATTCAAAAAACCGAATCAACATTTATGATTTCATGATTGAACTGAAACTAGTGAACCAAAATTACTTGATTAACAAAATGAGTGAGCAAGCTAGATTAAATCTAACTACACTTGAAGAAAAAAAAAAATTTACTTACCGGATATGAGACTCCGATTGTGTCGCTGATAAGAGAATTGGTTTTCTCGCATACCCTACAAAGATTATTGGTTATCGATGATTCACAGCTGGAGTTGAGCAAAAAGAGAGTATTTTAGAATAAAAATAAAAAAGATTGAGGTGAGCGAAGGAACCTCAATGGTTGTTTAGAAAGTGGGCAGACCAGAAACTCAGAAAGTGTCTTGTTGATTCCAACTCCTACGTCTTTCAAAAGTGTTTTCCCAAATCTCACCATTTTTAACTCCACTCCTTATTTGAAACTCACTCAGTCTCAGACTAGGTTATGTGCTGGGTAAAGTGGCCTCAATTAAAACGACGTCGTAGGCTTCAGACGGCTAGCTTAGATTAAATCGTCATTCATCTTGCTTATATTAAATGTTAAAAGACACGGAGTATTTTAAGTATGAAATTGTAAAAATAATATATATATTCATTAACCTTGCTATTCTCCATCTCTGACTCACATTGCTCAATTATGATTAGTTCGTTGGTTAATTCAATTAAAATTTTCAGTATTAACCAAAAACCCACTGATTCATCTCAACTAAAAATCTAAGCTGATAGTTAGATTGCACATTAATAGTTATATGCTCAACATATACTACTCTTTGAGCCATACACAAGACATGCGTATACATCAGATATGCATAGCCCGTGGCAACCAATTAAATCAATCACTCGAAAGAGACAATGCTAAATCTTGATATTTACATGAAGTTCAATCTTGATAAAGGGTAAAAGGTACTTTACAGAGAGGTAGGCTTGAATAAAAGAACAATCCATATGTATCCATGACACCTAGCTATAATCTCTCTACTTTTAATATTACTATGCTAAATCCTGAAATATCACCCATGCTTTCTAGGATTCCATGAATTGGGTGGATGGAGGGCTTGTTTTTGTCTTGTGTGTACCTGCATGTTTTATCAGCGTTAATATGCTTAACCTATCATTTATCATTCATAAATAATAAGAATAAAAATGGGTTTAATTTGATGCAGAGATGAAATGCTCAAGTTGAGATTCATATTGTTAATAACCATTTCTAGGTGTAAGCATGAGGAGGTCTGGTGAAACTTGAAAGGCATACCCTCAATTCCACGAATCTCAATTTCGCGCCATTCCTGGACCAGGGCACAGCAACAGCACATCAAGTGAGACAGGAAATCATCAATGAACCCTCCCTGCACATAAACGTACAATCCATAAGATATTACAACATATATAGTTTAATAGATATAAAAAGAGGCTGTGAGAGTGTGTAGCAGTCTGTTCTACTTATTATTATTATTATTATTATTTAATACAATACTACTATGAAGAAGGTGGGCAAGGAGCCTTCAGACTTATAGACTTTTGTGCTGGTGTATTCTGGTTCCAGAAGTTGGATAACCAGGTTTCCATTGCAGGTGTGAGTATAGACTATAGAATATGATATTGATGGTGTGAAGAAAGAAGATACCGGGATGCTTAGCTTTTTCCGCAGCTTCCTTCTGATGCAACATGTGTAACAGCAGCAGGACAATATTAAGGAGTATGCCATTAATTCATTACAAGCTTCAGCTGAAGCTGTATTCAGACCAAAAAAAAAAAAATATAATGAAATTAAGAAAACAAAACCTAAATCACAGTGAGTTACAACTTCTAATATAAATGAAGAATTGAGTTGTAGGAAAATTTTGAAGACAACTATTCACATCAATGAAAAAAGAGTCTGGAATGAGACATTCAAAGTGCTTTGCTGACAAATTTTTTTCAAATCCCCTGATTGTAACAGAGAATTTACAAGTCATCAACACATATATTCCACCAAGCAAACAACAGAGATCCAATTTGTTATATCAAGCAATTGATTAGTTTTGACATTTCCTTACTGAAATTGAGGTTAGCCACTTCATCTGTGAAATCCAATTTTCAAAATAATATTAAGCATCCTGCAGCTGCTAACTACCAGTTCTGTAATCTAGTTTATCATAATAATCATCAAAAGGGGATGAAAATGGTGCCTACATCAGCTATACTAATCCAAGTACGAAGAATAGTTAACCCACATACACAAGAAAATAAATTAGGAATTACACTCAGCACGTTTTCCACAGCTTATCACATAGATCATATAAGACAACAAAGTTTAGATAGGAATTAAAAGCAAACCTCAGAGCCTTGCCTAGTTGGCAAAGACCTTGAGGCTAGGGGCAGGTTCAAATCACACCATGAGTACCTGGTGAGGTTAACTAGTCTCATTATCTGTGAGTAGTTTAGTCCCAATTATTTAGGAGTTCTTGTGATTTGTTGTGATTACAGTTATCTATCATATAATTGATTGTATTCATTGATCATGAATTAGAAATGTTGTACTCGGAGTATCAATATACATATAGGATTTAAAGCAACTCACATATATGCCTGTTGGTTGCTGCGGTTGCAATTCTTGAAAATGTCCCACAAGGAAATAGTAAGGTTTTTATGCCTGCAAAAAGAGAGAGAAGTCAAAAATATAACTAAATTCCATCCTCAGCTTTGTACAGATAAATGTAGCAACGCCCTCAAAATCCTAGAGGTTTGGATTCCAAAAGGGCCAAGATGCTATTAATGTTATGAAATAAGACGTACTGAGTGAGAGCTATGTATCATGTCAACTGCAAATTTGAAATTAGTGAACTATAACTAGTTTAAATGCTTATTTTCTTCTTTGCATCCAGATGAAACACTAAATGGTATCTGCAGGCAATTTTGAGTGCTTTGTTTCATTGCTTCTATGGCAACTCCAAGCTCCCCTACAAGTCTATGCACATTATCTGAACTAACACATTAACAGGCTTGGCCATCCCCAATCTCTCTTTGAGTAATGTATACTTGTAATATGTCCACATAAGTACTAAGCTTTCAATCATCCAGTGATCTAGTTTCAAAGTTTGCAAGTCTATTTAACATAAAGAGATCACCTTTTCTCTCATCTGAATTCAACTTGTCTGGGGAAAAAAAAAAAAAAAAACCCTTAAATGGCTAAGTGCCATTTATTACAAGTACTACTTCATTCATCCATATAATGTCTATATTGATGGGATTTTGGATGTTGATTTTTATTTTTTCCGTTTGTGTTAAATAACATAGAGCAGTGTTCTGTAGCATACACAGAAGAGGTTCTGAACAACAGCCCAAAAGATCTGAATGCCATTCTTCATATCGATGTGAGCCCTTAGAAGAAATCAAGTCGTGTTTGGATGAAACTGAAGAAGTGTTTCTGCAAAATAAAATGCACTAAGTAACAAACTAGTAGAAAGTTAATAAAGTACAGGATACTGACTGATCTGTGCCTAGACACAATGAATTCACATTTATCAGAAATAGTTTGAAGCACCCCCAAAAAATTAATAATAACTAAAAAGGAATGGGGAGGAATGTATATTTATGTTCTACTTTAAACATAAAACGATTTCTTTTATTAAAAAATTACCTTGAAGTTGACCATTTTTCATCATTCTTTCCGTAGCTTTGATCATAATTTTGCTTATCACTATCAGCATCTGAATAACCATGCTCCACCTTGAGAGGTTTGGCAGGTAAACTCTTGTCCGGAAGAGAAGTAGCAGCAACAACTTCTGTGACATCAAGAAGATGTTGAATGAATTCACACTGATTTACATCTAAATTAGCTTGTGAACGTTGCAGCTCTAGCTGTAGTTTTTCATTTTCTTTTCGAATAGCCTCATTGATGGGCACGGTTGGATAGGTACAAGAAAGTGTTTTCTTCAATACAACAGTATCATCTCTGGAGGGTTCTGGTTTCATTATGACTTCTTGTACCTTCCTGTCTTCATCATCCAGTGTGTATTCTCGTTGATCCATTTCAATAATTTCCAATCTCTCCTGGCAATTGTGGGAAGAGTTAATGTAGCAATTAAAGGAGTAATAAGAGGAATACTGCTGTCCAGAGTAAGCAGGTTATTTCATCTTGCTTTAAGAAGCTATGTGTTAGTCAACCCCACGGGCCGTAAGGATTAGATAGTAGATACACTGGTTTAGCAATTTTGATCAGACCAAATCACACACATTCCCAATCACATACTAGACATGCACAATCCATTCATTATGGACCATCATGCATCTCTTTTTGACATGATAATTGGTATTTCCACTCACTTGACATAAAATAGTGAGGTATGCAAAATGCCAAATTTCAAAATCAAGGTGGACCAGTAAAGAAAAAGGAACTGTCAATTGAGGAAGAATCATAATAAAACTAAGAATTTTAAGAGGCCCAAGTTAATTGCTGTAGTTCATAATCAGGTACAAGCTACATAATAGAAAAATAAATAAATTAAGCACATGCATATCATAACACCAATTCACAGTTTCAAAGAGGTGCACAAAGCTGGCAGATATTTGGAGGTTTTCTATCCAAGTCTCAAACCACCAGTTTATGATAAAGTACTAACATTCAGTGTTAAACTTTTGATTTCACCTTATCTGTTTATGATATAGTTCTAAAACCCAGCTATGTGAGCCATCAATGCCATAAATCCATGACACGGCATCAATAGCTTGATATCCAATCAGAAGGACTGCATTTCCAACATTTCAGGTAAGTTTTCAATATGATTAAGAAGCAACAATTTAGTAGTAGGTCGTGTCTTGGTCACAAAATACTTGCTTCCACCTAGGACTTACATACAGATGAATTCTACTATAAGCAATAATGAAAATTGCTGTAATAACCAGCAGGTAGAAAATGCAGACATATTCTGTGGCTTTGGTTCTGCTATAGCTCTCTATATCTTCTCAAATTACTAATACCTGATACGCTCTGTAATATTAACTGGGAAACACAGCTCTATAATGCTACTTCATATTACACTCCAAGTAGCACAAAACAAGTGAACTCAGAATGAGACATAGAAAATGAAACTTAACAAGGAAATAATCTTACAAAGAATTGTTGAACAGACACTCAGAAAGCAATCCGGGCCTGTTCACCACATAATTATTTTGATGGCACTTGAGTATGTTTGGGTCTCCCATTAATAAAGTTTTCCAGATAAGCATGGAAAGGGATAGTAGAACCGTGGGTGCAAGAAATTTGCATTTCAGAGAAAATAACAGGATATGATAATAATGATATCCCAAAAAGAAATAACAGAGAAGAAATGTCAGTACCCTGACTCTAGTGTTGTCCACAAGAGTAATGAGAGGGATGATCTTCAAATATCTGTCTATCTCACTCTGAGCCCTCCTGAACTGGTACACAATATTCCATCCCATAGCCAACAGATAAAGATAGCTCCTGTCT